AAGATCAAGTGTGAGCTTTTGAGATAATGTGCTGGTTATCTTTGACCAAAGTAGCATCAGCGTTGCACCCCATTAAGTTGTTTGTTAATTTCTGGTTTCCAAGTCCTATTCGGCGAGTATTTCGTAATGCTATGACATATCTTGTGTCATCTGATTTTTCAAATTTTACACTATCGTGTAACGAATAGAAGCCGAGTTAAGCCCCTGCAAATACGAGGCGACACTGTTTGGTTGTCAAAAACACAAATCCAATCATCTCAGCAACGAAATGGCTAACCCAACGGGGTTCCAGTCGGATAGTTGTGGTACTGAGTCGGTAACAGTGAAACTGTCTCTTACCACAGTTAGCTGGTTTTAGTACGGTTCGAACATTGAACCTTGAAGTCTGAAGCATGCCAGTCGCAATGATTGAAGTTATTTGTAACAGTAAGGTTGTTCTGATTGTCTTGAATACATTCTCTTTATCTGTTATGTGTCCGCTGCCGACCCGGTTTTGCGCAATTGTCTTAGCGACTTTTATAACTGCCCCATTGCGTAAAGAAGTCGAACAGCGCACTGCTACCAGTTGTCGTTGTCGTCTTATTGTGCATCTAATAAATTGGGCACTGAAAGTGCCCTTGAACAATTTCATAGAAAATCAATATGGTTGGTGGGACAAGTAGTTTTTATGCTTCGTTTTCAAGCTTGTATGGTGTTGATCTAACGGTGTAGATATCATCTCGTTTTTTGGTTTTTGAAAAGGACATCACGTTCTCCATGTTTTTGGAAAAAGCTATGTTGTGTTTTAATGAAAAATTTATTATTATTATTTATCATTTATTTATTTATTTTACTGTTATACTGCTTCTTGTTGAATAGGTATTGGAATGACAGTCTGAGAGGGAGAAGCAGGACACTTAGAGAGGTGCCACATAAGACAACGGAAATGGGAAAAGTTAGACAACAGTGTTCAGGTTTGATGATAAGATCTTTGAAGTGATACTTTGGTGACTTTACCTGTATGATTGCTACTATAAACGTGCTGTATATGCAAAATATGGGAAAGAAATAATACGTTTAGTATTATATTTCTGTTTTCTTAAATTAGTGCGTGAAAAATGAGATACACATAATCTATTGCAGTGAAGTCGCATTCTGTTTTACGTAAACATTGTGCACACCATTTATGGTTAAAATAGTAGAGAAACATCTTAAAGTATTTTGAAATACACATTTTAACTAGCTTCAAAGTGTACATGAGTTCCGCTCACTTAACTGGGAACTCAGTTCCTCCATGTTAGGCAATCGATAATCAAGAATCAATGATTGATAGGAAAATCGTATCAGATAAGCAGTCTGGAAGGAGAATAAACTGTTTCAGTATATCACCTATTTTTTCATTTCCTCTGCCTTCCCTGCTTGTATTGTGCCAAAAGAATCAAATATCTGTAAATTGATCCGATCGCAAGGTCACAATTTCTTTGGATCACTGGTTTATCGATTTGGCGTGTTTACAAGTCTGAATTGGCGCATGTGGCTTGTCGTTGATCAATTTGGTTGTCCTATGGGATTAACTAAACCGGATTGAAGGATTTCCTAGAATGGAATTAGTTGTACACAAAACGAAGAAACAAGTTAACTAAAATGTGAGGAAGTCAACCGTGTAAACAGCCGTTTTGATCACTATCAGCAGTACACTTCATTCGACACGGTGCACAGCTAAGTATAAACAGCTAGACTGCATCTCACAGACTAAATTTCTTTTGTATTGAATGCATTCCCGCGTCAAATGTATTCTTTCGTGTTCGTCTTCTATAAAATATGATTGGTCAAAAATGCACGTCTGGATCCACATGGGTGGAATGAATCAAACAAGAATCAGCTGCTATAGCTAACTTATATTGATCACTACATTAAGCAATTCCGGATCCGGTTAAATACCAATCATATTCATTAATGCTTTTTCTGAGAGGCTTGATCAAGCAAAGTAAAAATGCGCGGAAGAATCTGAGATGACCAATCAGAGTCACTAATAATTGCATTTATAAAAGGTGAATTGGCAAATACTCCAGTTTTGGAAGCATATATAAGCAATACGTTGAAATCCATAGATGCAATTTGCACTTTGATATCACCACCAATCACTAAAGGAAATGGAAGTGGTTTGACAGGCGTTTCGTCCTTCCCACTTCCAATCGGACCAATATGCGTAAAAAAGTGTACTCACTGTAAGAGTGCATGCATTGTGTATTGATTATGGTGGCTTAGTTTCTTTTTACTTCCCTCAGAACAGGCTCATTCACCATGGAACTTACTAACCGACTTACTTTGTGTATATTTTGCGAATTTTGAGAACAAACAAAATTCACACAGCTTATTCGTAAATTGTGTTACATTGTTCATAGATATGTCAAAGTGTGACAAGCGAACTGGCAACAACACCAGCAACCAAAATTACAAACACCGTGATACTACACTGCTACAATTGAACCCCTAAAATTCGTGAAATCTGAACAAACTGATCGTACTCGTGCAACACCCTTGTTCTTATCAGATTCGTTCCCCCCAACGCTTGTTGTTTCGATCTTTATTCACGAGATTGAATAAAATATTGCCAACATCAGATGCAACATATCTGTAATAATATACACTTGTTTTTCTTTCTATTAGTCAAATGCCGTTAAACCTCACGACTGCTTCATTGCTCCAAAGCAGAGTACAGTAAAACTGCGAACATCCATAATATAACTCCTGTTGTTTATGTAACAATTCATGCTTTGAAACTCATATGTTACTCCATCTGATCTACGGTTTATGTATGCTGGTGACACTCCTATTTTAATCCGTTTTCAATCAGTCCGATTTGAAACTTAAACCAATAACCTACCTCCTCTTGTCACTTACACTACTTTATCCTGTCTTCATTCTGACTAGGATAAATACTTCGAATCTGTCTGTAGTCCAGATCATTCTCCTCCTCCGTCTGGAAGTATAAAAAGTGGGGGCAAGCAAATGAGCAACGAAACTCGTGTAAATTATTTGAACATCACGCTTGATAGTACTGTTCGCTTGATGCTGCGTACCGAAAACTGTTGCTCGCAAACTTGGAGGATTTCTGTTTAGAGAGAGAAAAAATGGTGTCACTTTTGCGGTGAAAAATCGGTAATAAGAACTTTCATTAGGTGATGCGTTCTCCTTATATTTATTTATTGCTCTCCTTGACCTTCTCCAGCCTGCGGATGGATGATTATAAGGCATGGTCTCAGAATGATCAGTCGTGGACTTCCCAATTCTTATACAAAAGTATTTATAACGGACAAGTTGATCGTTGCCTGGAGATAAAAAACAGAATCACACCTGATAACACCCATCCCTTATACTTTGTGACTTATCTGCATGTGAACTCCATTTTGTTACCAACTCCAACTTTTACGAATTCGTGTACAGAAACTCTTCGAAAACTTTTCATGCTTTAATTTTGAAAGATAAAGTAAAAATTCGTTCTCAACTGTTAAATTTATTTGGGAGTTGATTCACCTTTCCGCACAGAATGTTCCCTTTTTCATTCTCATATCCTTTGACAGTATTGCAAGCATGTGCGCGCCACGCTCAAGCTTGAATGCGACAAAATCGTTTGAAACGAAACCGCTAGGCTTGACACAAAGTCCAAAAGAGAGACAAAGTCAAATTTCCTCACATCCGTTCCTCGTTGTTGGAGATCACGTTTACTTCTCCTGGTCTAAAATGTTACTTCAGATTATATATAGTTCAGGAAACCAAAATTTTTGGGGTGAAATAATATATTTCAGGCACAGTAGAAGTCTTATCACAGTAAGTGGACAAAATTTGTGGAACATGGAAGTTTCTAGTGAATTCGTCCATAGGGTTAACTCAAGTATAAGATGAATGATGATATTTGAAAATTTATCGTATCCTTAAATTTATAGCACTTAACGACAGACCAAATTTGTCTATTTGTGTGCAGTGCAAATGAGGTGACAAAAAATTATTATATATTATATTTCACACTTGCCTGAGGACAGACTGTGTGCCAAGCAAATCATGGTACTATAATCTTTGTAAAAAAGAAAACCGTTCCATTAGTGGCGTGTAGGCTTAATACTGATAGGTTGCCCAGACCAAGGCAGGCGAATTTTCTTGAGGAATCCACAACCGGGGCCTTTGGTTAACCACACAGCTGTGTAAAAACCGCAATTAATTGGGAGTCGGTATCCAGTTCATCGGATCATGCGCCCTTCGGACGGGGTCAAACGTCCTAGGTGCCCAATACACCTCAATGCCCAACTGAGCCGGTGACCACTGCCACAACCGAAAAGGGTGTGCGTGGTTTGTACGCCTCCTCTTGGTTGATTTATAATTATGGTTTTTAGCCAACTCCCCTAGGTGAACAACCAGTGGTCCACCAATCCGGTACTAGCCCCGGATGTCGGCTTTTCGTTCTCTCACTTTGGTGGGAAAACACCTCCACCACGAGAAGCAGTGATTAGGGCTTCCTCAACAGAGGCTATTTGAGACGATTGGTCGTATGAGAGCATTTCGTGAGGTGCAAGGGAAGAGTAACTATCCGCAACCCTAGATACACGACCCCGACCATACTGAGGCTTTCGGAGAAAATCCAAGGTTAGGATACAGAACTTTTGTGTAAAACGATTCACTCTTTATCTATAGACCTATTTGATTTTCGTCTGTAATTTATTAAGAAATTAGGTAGTTCGTGGAAAAATGCATAAAACGTTTCTTTTTTTAATGAAAACGCCACACATTCTTTCTCAAGTCTTCCCTTTCCTTTAATTTGTGTTTCTATTCAAGTCCGGACAACCATCACAAGGTGCTACAGTGAGCAACGTGAATCTGACCGCTACAGAGGCCGCCGAGAGCAGACCGGAGTGAGGTCAGAGGGCGACGGAATTCACCGGCGCATCGCACTTTGTTTTCAACAAATGTATTTTCTTTTTGTGCATTACCTGTTCTCTAGAAATCTATCGCCCCGTTGCTAACTCACCCTGTTTCTCCCCACCATATTATCCTAAGTTGCTTTATTCTACACTTCTCGATCCCGTGATCCGCACTCGCGAAGTGTCCACGCTCACAGATTACCACGCGATGGAATCTACGGACAAAATGTGTTATGCAGGCTTAGAAAACTATCACTGACTGTCGTTTGATTGAATACTTAATATAATGCACCTCCATGCCTCGCTCTCTTTCACTCATCTGCATTATTGTTCCTTATTCGTTCTTATCAGTGCTCCTTGGCTAGAGACCATAATAGTGGAGATTATCTGGTGGAATACTTCGTCAACTAACTGTAGGACTTCGCAGGGCTGTTTAGAACGTGCTTAACGGTCCATGAAGATTAGTTCGTTTTGCTCATCTTATCAAGTACCATAAGGCTATCCTAGAAGTGTATCATATGATTTTCACATTGCAAATGTGTCCCCAGTTTTGTCTAGTAATGGATTTCGCTTCAAACCATCCCTGTTTATGAGATGGATAAAAATTGCTGCAAGACCGCCAATTGATAACCAAGTCTGTCGTAGGATGAACACACAGGTTGCAGCAGTATGCAATCCACCGGAATGAATAAAATTTGTACAAAACACTGCTGTATTATTTATGGCCTTGGATCTGAGTGTAGTTCTTACAGTGTGCAGCTTCTTGAATATTGTTAGTGTTGTTCCTTTGCGGTAATCCGAGACCCTTTTGAAGCAGCCAAGGACCTGAATGGCGCGCTATATATACAGTCAAATGTATGCTCATAACAGACGTGCTGCACAGTATAACAACACTGCACGCAAACTTGAGTAAGTTGACTAACCTTACAGCCATTACTAACTGGGGATGTGAAAGCTGCATCTTTCACCGACAAAGGGTTTCAAATTGTTTCAATTGCGTTTTGACACAGGGTAGAAAAACGTGTAGAAGAAAATTTATTGAGAAGAAGTCACATAAATCTACTTTTATTTTGTTGAACTTCATATGGTTACTGATTAGCTGCTAGTGGGCTGCAATCGCAATGTTTTGGAATCACAGGGAGCTAGGTCATTGTTCGTAGGAATTTAGGAATCATTCACAAATATCAGGGAATGTAAAGTGCTAGTATAATGCAGTTCATATTTTAAATGAAAGATATTTTTAGGCAGTGGTGTAAGACGGATGATATGGATTTATACTGAACAGCTTTGTGTCTTCCATTTTGCTTACAATTCTCAGTTCATCCAATCTAACTTATATTCAGGAAACACCCAGCTCTAGTTTTGTTCTAATTAGTAGTGCATATTCTCCTTCCCTTCTGAGGTTGAACTCCGGACCCATCTCATGGAAAGAGTGTATACTACATTGTCAATCAACTCATTGCATAGCAGACCAGAATTACCAATTAATGAAATCCCAAAAGTTGCATTTAATGACAGCCAATCACTTCAGTTTTACATAAACAAAGGGAAACATAATTGTCTATCTGTTTACCCGGTATGAAGGCCTCCATTCGAGTCCAATACATCCCAAATGTATGATTGGCGAGATGAATTGAAGTTGGTGTGTTCTGAAGAATGGTAGGATAAATCAATTCACTGTATTCATGTTGTTGACGCGGTGGATTTTATCCGTGTAAGATTATCGAATTATTTGAAAAATGATAGTGAGATCATCAAACTGCTGCTTTCACACTGCTTTCACATTTTTTGGTTCTCGCGAGAAGTAGGGCAGTGGGATGTCACACATCACACAGAAAACAGGAAATACGGCGATGGTGGTGGGATTCGAAAACAAGTCCTCCGCAGTGATAGATAGATTCGGCACCTGTATCACTTTACCATCACCGGCCATCCACCAGCCTTCAAGTAGTTNGAAGATGTGTCAGGAAGTGGCTAATAGAGATGCTGTTTTGTAACAAAACAATATCATAATTTAAATATGTACTACAGATCCAAGGTGTTGAGGAGCTATATGTTTACTATATATGTATATATATATGTTTGCCTCTGGAATTCGCTAGGAGTGTATCAAGCAGAAGACAGAGATTGCTTGAGTTTGGAGATGAACCGTCTCGCGGATACTCTAACTTTGGTTTGACATTGTATGTAGCAAATACTGTAACGTTCACTCACAAATGTAGAAAGTAAAGCGAATGCAATGAGTTTGTGCTTTGCACGAATCGCTTACATTATTGGTGCTGTAGTCACTTACACCTGAAATATTTTTGACTATGTGAACACTTCACCTGCGACTCCTGTAAGCCGTTGCCAGATTATAATTTTGAAGGTACAATGTATTTGATAGCACCAGCTGTTTATACTGAAAACTCTGAGACTGGCTTACAATGAACTAATGCCTCGAATCAATTGTTATGGGAAACAAATGATGGATGTGTTCAATGAACACTCCGATGAAGGAATAACAAGAAAAACAGCAGGATTGATCACTCCTTTCGTTAAAGGGAAAGAACTGAACCAAAAAGCTCTTATTGGATACAATGAAGTAGGAAAGTATGGCGGAAGTGAGTGTTCGAAACCATGACCTCGTTGATTGACCAAATGTTGACTTATACGTTTGCGAGGAAAAAGAGGTTTACAAATTTTTAACAATCTAACAAAGGCGATATAATACGAGCTACCTTACTTATCCTAAAAACGTTTATAAGGAAGTATTATGTCATATTCACTCGCGTTCGTTTACTGGGACCATAGTAACATTTGTGTCAGTTTTAGTAAATTCTTCAACGTTCCGGATGAAAGCACACTGTCTTGTCGATGGATGACCAGTAAAGAGTCATTTATCAATGTCAATCGCTGGGAGTTCATAAATAGTGGCATCCTGTGAAATTGGATGACCAAACTGTCACTGTGTCATCATGCCTTAACCCGCTTACAACTCATTTTCCAAGAGGTTTTATGAAAAAAAGTGTGAAAAAATGTGGAAAAAATAACAGCTGATTCCATTACAGTCAATTTGGGTATGTTTCTGTTGAAAAATACTGATACAGTAAATTTGTTCATGCTGGTTTTCATTAGCATACATTTTATATCAATTTGAGTAGGCAAAAGTTTTGTGTTTTTGGTACTTGCGAGCCATGAGCAAATGTGTATCATGGCCCATGGCTTGGTAACAAACTGAGAAATGATAATAAATAATTTGATTCTAAAATTCTCCTATATTAGAAGCTAGAAAGGAAGGTCTAAAGAGGAATCGAGTACGTAACGTGCAAACCACAAAAGTATACTTTGAAAATCTGGATAATTATTCGGATGGAGCTGAAACGAAATCGTGTTCATCCACGGAGCCGGGTTTGGTGATCCTCACTCATGGCAGCATTAATATGCACGCCAGGTTGTCCCAATTACTTGGGTGGTAAATCAAATGGGTAACCCACGAAATGTTTTTTTCTACGCTTGCTCAATAGAGCGGTCAATGTGAAGGCGAATGCGAAGCGGAAATGGAGACTTAACTCAACTCAGTCCATTAAAAATCATTGAATACCGTATTGAACTTTTTCGTTTTTGTTTAATTTATTTTTCTTTTTTGGTAACGTCCTGACACAGTTAACAGAAAATACTTCTTGATGAACTTCATCAGTCGCTGCCTCAGAATTTCATACGTTCCATCTAGATTTTGAGATGTCAAAGTTATTTCAGTTTGAAGCACACCACAATTACGAAGAACGCCTTGGGGTCTGCTTAGTACCGACCACTGATAGATCGAGCTCACTGTTTGTTCATATGCTTCAAACGCTCTGTGCACACTGCAACCGAGCAAATGGCCATAATCAGATTAGAACAATTAGAAAACTTTGGATCACCAAAACTCTCTTCCCTCAAGAGTGCCTCGTCAATCCGCCGTGCCTAACGGCTAGACTTGCGGACTGCAATCGTTGACTCCGCCTGTTCACATCGCACCCTTGAGTAATGTTCTTGCATTTCGATTGGTTGTGACTGCGCATCTGACTGATGCAGCTTCGCTGGATTCCCTGACGGAGTTCGCATCTGATTGTCCCTCTCTCTTGCCTCTTGATGCCCCTGGTCCGTGGACGATTTGAAGTGGATTTGGTCCACGTGTCGTTTGTGCATAGTGGCATCATTCAAGTGGGTAATTTCCACCATGGCTTGACCCAGTTGCCCTATGACTATACCAGTGGCGGATAGCCAGTCATTACCGCAGAAGTATATGACGTCACTGGAGTCGAGACACTGAAGAGAGGATCGGAAGCGTCTGGATTTAAACAGCAATGTCTGACTCTCATTGGTGGTTGCATGTCTTGCGTTTCGGCATTGGAGTAGGAAGTTATCCACTAACATTTCCAATTTAGGTAGCATTTTAAGATCGACTGACGCAAATGCACTCTTGACCGTCTTGATTAAATTCTCCGCCGCTCCGTTCGAACAGGGGTGACATGGCGCAGTTCAAAGACAACCAATTCTGTCCATCCGAAGCTTCATTTAGGTCGCACAGAACTGAGATCCATTGTCCGTTCGCGACTGAAACATTTACACAGAACCTGTATCAAAAATGGTATGGTAGGCGTAGCTTTGAAGAATACCTTTGACCCTTGGAAATATGCATCGATCAAAACAAGCGCGTAATACCGGTTCAGAAATGAACCACAGAAGTTCACATGAACCCTCTGCCATGGTATGTAACTTTCCGGTCATGGAGTCCGTTTTTGTAGTTTATGTAAACATGAGTAACAGTGTTTGGCTGTTGTGTAAATGTCTGCGTCTAACTCCGGCCACCAACGTACGTGTCGAGCTAATGATTTCATTTTCTTCACTCTCATGTGTCCTTTATGCAATTCATCTAGTACCGATTTCCGTAGTGACGGTGGGATTACCAAATGATCGTCGTGACATAACATACCATCCAGCTGCACTAACAACTCTTCCAGGTGAGCAAAGAGCTGTGGATAATTTCTATTCATTTCTGCTGACCACTGTTTCTTGATCGCTTAGAGTATGACCGAATAGTACTGCTTGGTAGATTTGCGCAAAGGCTCTAAAGATACTGGTGATGCTGGGGTACTGAAATGACACTGTTCGGTCTCTGAAAATCGTCAGTATCGAAAAAATCAGCCTGCGGGACTTTCCTTCTTGGTCGATGTTGATTGTTTTAGTTGTAGGCGTGTCTAAGGCGATGCCCCACATCTATAGCACAGCAGCAGTGGATTTCGCGATGAATTTTTTGAGGATGGAGAAGAACTCTAGCGCTCGGTAATCAGTGATGAAGGTAAATTGCAACCCGAAAGGATACTTGTGCAATCGTCGAACAACCCAAAATACAGCTAACGCTTCTTTTTGTGTCTGCGAGTGTCCCATTTCAGTTGCATTAGGTAGACATGAAATGCATCCCTTTTGTTCTTATACAGCACCGACGGCGGACGCATCGGTGGTCAGTATGGACGGTTTTAATGGTGAAAACGGGGTCAAAACAGGACGGTCAGTAACGCAGCGAACTAAACCATGTAAGATATCTTCGCACTCCATAGACCATTCTTAAGCGTCTGACCACTGAGTACAGAAAAGCGGCTGCGCCCTTGTGGCAAAGTTCGGGATAAATTAGGCATCCCATCAAAGATCTCAAATGCTTTTGATCCCTTGGAGACTCGATGTTACTCAATGGTTTAAAATGTCTCGGATCGAGACAGTGTCCACGGGCACCGATTACAAATCCTAGAAACTCAATCTCACTCACTCCAAACACACATTTGGACGGTTTGATAGCCAGGTTCCTGGCGACGAATCGTTTCAATAGCTGCCCAAGACAGGCAGTGTGCTCGTTCTTATTAAGGCAAAAAATGAGGACATCATCCTGTTATGCAACCACACCGTCGAGTCCTTTTAATACTCCGTCTATTGCCGATTGAAAGAGGCCAGACGATAAATGCGATCCGAACGGGAGAAAATTATACTGGTACGTTACCCATGACGTGTTGATGGTTGTCAAGTAGCAAGATTCAATATTGAGTGGAATCTGTAGGTATGAGTCCACCAAATCTTTCTTGGAAAAATACTGGCGACCATGCAATGACTTCATGAAATCCTCTGGTTCCATGATGGTAACTGCACATCTTCGTAATCGGGGATTCAAAGTCAGTCGATAGTCTGCACAGATCCGTGGTGTTCTATCATCACTTTTCATTGCCACCAAAATTGGGATAGCCCAGGCACCGGATTCACTTGGCTTATCACACCATCCTGTTCCATTTTCTGTAACGCTTTCATGACACTTTCCCTTTGGCTTTATGGCAGAACGCTTCGGTTTTGAAAAACAGGTTCACCATCCACATCCAACTTTACCGACGGTATCTTCATGCAACCAGCGTTACCGGAACATTAAGCAATCAAATGTTGAAGATGGCAGGTGTTTGGCTTATCTTTGTTCGTATGTAATATGATTAAGCCTTGCAGTAGCCGCATTGCTCGTAGACCCGGAATGGATGGACTGAGGACTGATATCAGGAATCGAATCGTGTTTGACACACTGGACTCAGACTGAGCGTACAACTCCGTGTCACCAAGTGATTGCAAATTGATGGCCGGTAACCCCATGAATGAGAACTGAAGTCGGAGTAAGACCAGCACAGGGACAAATATCAGTGAGTGCTGATTTCGGTAGGATAGGATGGTTTGGTCACAGTCACACTTTTCATTTGGAGTGAATACCGGAGATTTGCTTTGGAACATGTTCTAATGGGTCAACCTCCCGGCAAAATCATACTCAGATGAAAACCGGCGTACCTGGTTGTTCGATCGTAAGTTTCGGGGAATTTATCCTATTCCTGGGGCCATGCAATCAGTCTAATGGAAAAAAACTATTGATCGCTTAGATATGCTGTTTAGTTCCGTTTGTTTATGCAAATGTTTTGAATTAGTGGCAAAAATTTGTAGTCCCTATTCTAAATGGGTACGATTGTCAGCTGAGGTCTAGTCTAGTCTACACTGAAAGTGCCTGAGCGGGGTGGTTAGTTAGGGGGAATCGTAATCGGTTAAAGACCCAATAAATGCCACATAGCTTCATCGCGACATTTCCGCTTGCAGAATATGATGCTAAACTTGTGTTTTTTCTGCCAGTCCTTTGGATTATCGGCACGAAACTCAAAAAATTGCAAGAAAATCGATTGAAAAGAGTAAAGAAATGGCTTGTTGATCTCCAAAGTGTTTATACCAAACGTTCATTCGATCGTTCCTTGGTAACCGTAAAATACCTTAGAAATATCATGGAAATTACAATCGCATACTTATTGGGTGGCGCACACTCCACCAGCTGAGCCACGAGGCCACACCGACAGAGCACTGGTCTTTTCGCATTCGAATTAACTATCCAACTTACAGAGGAATATGACATCCACCAGTTAGCATGTAAGCTGACGGCCCCGACAGGTTTTCCTTAGAATTCACCGGAGTCCACCGAATGAGCCTCTAAGGGAAGGTTAATGGTTCAACTTGGTGTTTGGCAGACTTGAAATTTGTATGTCGAATGTGAAAATATCAGTGCTATCAGTGGGGCCTGGTAGAGCGTGCGCTGTACAAAAGTGTAGGCCGCGTCCATGCGTGAGTTCGAATCCCACACAATCGATATACAAGCCTCAAATGTGCCAAGCAACAAGTTGAAGTTATGGAATATTGAGTTACTCCATTCACAAAGATGCACACTACACAGTTTTCCCTGGAGAATGACCGATTTGATATTCATCCTCTAATAAACCAGGAATCAAAAATGCTGCAGATAATTGGATTCGAAGATGTTCGTTACCTGAGATTTTTAACTTCTTGATTTCAATCTTGATTTCCAGACGAATTCTTAAGTCAATATTTCGCACTGTGTCCGTCAAGTAATAGATACTTTTGGCTTTACATCATTCAGTGCGACAGAAAAAAATAGTGAAGCTTTATTTGGATTATATATACTCTCATATTTGCACTGCCAAATATATTGTAACGAGAAGGCGAGCTGGCTGGGAAAACGTCTATTGATCCAAATCAAAAACAAACAGTGTCTGCGTTCGATTATATACAGTCAATTCTGAACCGCGCGGCGGGATGATTCATGCCTCTTTCTGTGAATTATTCGTTGTTGGTCTTGGTCTGCACTTGGCACGTACGTTGCCTCTTCTTCCGCGTGCCATTCCGACTGGTTTGACNCTTCCCGCCGCTGCGTCTGTGCGTCTGGTCGGATGGGCCCCATTCTTGCTTCGGTCGCTAGCCAGGACTCTCTTTGAACTGCCTTCCATCACAATATGTGCAGCAGCCAAGTTTGTTAAATAGGTCCATTTTGCACAATACGGTAATAAAGCTCAATATACGACTTTCACAAAGAAGTTTGACTGAATTCCAACAGTTATTCCATTGTACATAGTAAGAGGACTTATATATGTTTGCCCATACTATTGGTTTTACGTAGATAGGAAATAGATGGATGAGTTGTATTTATATGAGTGCACACATGAGTCAGAGCTTTCTGATAGTTAAGTTCGGAGGAACACATCAGTCCTTATCCAAATCTGACCATGCGCAATGGATGATAGATATGCGCTTTTATCCGTGCGTAGAAACGATCAGTTGCGCCGAAGTTGTTTACGAGGCGAGCATGCTGAACAAATAAAACATTTGTGCTAATTCATGAGTAATGAAGTAGGAAGTGCGTTTCACAGCGTATATCACTATGAGATCAGTCAACAAGCGAACGTTGAAGAAAACAAATAGAACAAAACGAGCAAAACTGATATTGTCTCTTAATTTTGGATACATCCAACTAGCTGTCTATGAACATATAATAGGTAGAATGTCATATGAAGGGTGCTAAATACGAGCATTCGCTTAATTACGTTGATTCGAGCGGAAAAATGTTTGTTTGAGCTGTTACTATGTAGATGAATAAATGCTAAACGGGTTTATGATTGCAGAGTCAGAAAGAGGAGAAACTAGCATGGCTACAGTTGCCTAATGGAAACTTATTAACTGCGGAAAACCGGAAGTGGAAAATGGGTCAGAGAACATTTCATTTAAATAAAGCTTAGGAATTAAATAGATCGGACATAAAAAAGACGGACTGGAAAATTGGTTGCTCAAGTAGATCCAATGAGTTACACCATATGGAAGTATGAAAGTGTCAACAATGAGGTAGGGGAATGACTAAGATAAGGGAAATGACGGAGAAAAGTGAAACAAAACAATTATCAT